TGTGACATTGCAGCTTCACAAGTCTTAAGGAAATCAGCAAACTCTCTCAACTCACTTCCATCCTTGGAGTTTATTTTAGGCCAATTGTTAAGCTTGTCTCTAAAACATTTTCCTATGGTGAATGGTCTTCCAAAGCGCTTTTCTAGCACTTTCCAAGCTGAATCGTATGCTTCGTCTGTGCCCAATAGGAGAAGGTCTTCAACCGCTCTCTTCGCTGGTCCACCGAGGTACTTTCTGAGATAATAAAGTTTCTCATTCTTTGGAATGTTTTTTCTTTCAATCAGGATTTCAAATGATAACTGCCAGTCCTTATACTTTAAAGGGTCGCCAGTAAACAATGTAGGTTCTGGAGTTGGAAGACGATTAGCATTTATTGCTTCCGCTAGTATGCTAACTAGCTCATAATTCGGCTGTTGTTGAATTGCAACGGAGGAGACTCGTGTAGCTTGAGGGATGAATGGTGGGCTTGATGCTTTGAGTGCTTGGTTTGTGGTGACCTCAAGTTGGTCACCAGGATTTGGTTGAGCTTGGTTTATAACTGCAGGAATGTGGGGCACAGATCCAAAGTGAGTTTGTGTGGCTTGTGGGATGAATGGTGGGCTTAATGCTTTGAGTGTTTGACTTGTGGCATTATGGACTTGGGTCAAACTTAGAGCTTGAAAGGGAACGTGTGTTACGATAGGGATTGCTTGGAATTTGCTTTCTGTTCTAATACTGCATAGTAAACTCTGACCTTCAGAAATACTTTCACCTTCATTGTAAACCTTTGCTCGAGCTTTTGCTGCATTCAGTTTTTTAACTTCTTCCAAGCGTGTAATCTTTCTGTGCTGCTCTTCTATTAGTTGCTGTCTTTCGAGATTTTGCTGGTCGATTACTCGCTGTCTTTCGAGCTTCTGCTGTTCCATTGCTTGCTGTTCTTCAAGCTTCTCACGTTCTAACCTTTGTAGTTCAGCTGTTTCCCTTTCTTGCTCCTCCATTATTGCCAATACTTCTTTAGATGCAGCTGCTTCGGCCTCTGCTTCCAGTCTCTTGCTTATTTGTGAGCATGACTGACTTGAACTACATCTAGACCTTCGTGATCTTGACCTTGATGTGGTACTTTCAGATCCCAGGCATGACCCTACGTCTGGCCACGGGTCTTCTTCGCTTTCTGGAAGGTGTCCTTTAAGTTGGTTTTCAGCTCTTTTGACAATACATGCAGAAAGTGATGTACATACATCTACTTTGCGCCTTGCGTCTGCATCAGGAGGTTGTATTTGTCGCATTTGTTCGTAGATGGTTTGTACATTTCGGCAGGTGATGTTCACATCCTTAATCAGCTCCTTTAATTCGCTCTCAGAAGCCTCCCTTTCTAATGCCGATTTGCTCAGTTTTGCTTCACATTTCCATTTTTCAAAAACGGCTACATATTTGTTTTTAAGGCCCTTGAGTTTCTCCTCTTGAAGCTCTTTACCCCCTTCGGTTAATGTTCTTACTCTTTCACTTCTACGAATAGTTTGTGTTTCTGGGATTTGCTCATCATCATTTCCTTCTACTTCAGTACGTGATACAGCATAGAGCTCCTTATGATTTTTGTCAGTCATCTTGTGAGTCTGGATAAATTTCACTCAATGCCTTATGTTTAAATTACAAATACTTCTTCAAACTTGTAACTTACATATGAGTTGACTATTACTTTGGGATTGTTGTCATTTCATACTTTAGCTGTAATGAGCTTCACTCTCAAAACATTTGTACTTCAACTTAAAGAACCTTGTGAATTTCCACGCTTAATTTGATTTTAAGCAAAACACAAACTCCTTTCTTAAACAACAATAAATCACTTTGAAGTCCAGTAGAAATCACGTAATCTTTGACAAATGTGTTATAGAGACTTGTTGTGGCTTTTGACTTAACCTTTAACTTAACCACTCATTCTATTTCAACACTGTTCTTTGTTAATTTCCACCTTATTCAGTTACATTTGCAGGGCTTGACTGCTTGTGAGCGTTGAACTTAGGAGATGGCGCCCCCTTGTGTTCGCACCACCGTGATACATCACTCAGCTGCAGGCACGCCCAGTTCTTTCCTTCTCGCCGGCACTGACTGGCTCGAGTTTTCACTGTAACTTCTCAATGACGACACGCGGGCACGGCTTCTTTATTTGAAA